AAATAGCTAAACACACATGAAAAAAATCCAGTGGTTAGATTAGATCACAATCCCGGGCAGCAGTTTGTTTCTCTGTAACTCTGATTGCACATAGCTCAGTGGGAAGAGACTAAGTGCCATGACCAAGCGCACCAAGCATACTTGTACTGCATCAGATAGATTATGCTACATGTAGAAGAAATACTCATTCTATTCAATATTTATATTTGGATCTTTGGATTATTATTCTGAGTGGCCATTTTTAATCACAATTTGATTTTCCATTGTGGAAATTCCATTCTAATTTCTTACATTCTTATTATTCAGTAATTATTCGGGTCTTAATGGTCTATTAAAGAGTGGTTCTGGAGTTCAGAAAACCCAATTTGAAATAATAAGGCTGTTGAGGAAATCCACACTTTTCTTTTTGGTCTGCAGGAATGGTAAATATTTCATTATCTTGTGGGACAAGGACTCAGGCAGAGGAGCTCCAATTTCTCTCCTTGTCTTTCCATGTTCTCTAATTACAGCTGCTGCTGGGTATCCTGACGCCACTGCTTCCCCTACATATTGCCAAGAAAGAAAATATGCCTCCATTGGCTACTGTACTTAGAATGGTTCCTAAAACCAAGCAAGAAAACCACAGTGATCTTGGCAAACAAACAATTGAAAAGTACAGGTGCTGGGAGTGTACACAGCCCCAAAATCAACATGACTTGGGAGGAAAGGGGGTTTGATAACAAAGAAAGGTGCTTTTCATTCAGAGAAATTTATTTCTTTTAAATATTTGCGATCTGCAGCCGATAGCACATGCGGCCACTTGGCATTATTGCTTGACAAAGGAGAGGGCTGGCCATAATGAGCAGATGCTTGAGAGACCTGTTGCGTGAGGAGCACCATCCATCAAGAAGATCAATATTTACTGTTCTTGTATCTTTGTGGTGAAAGTTTGCTCTCCTTAAAAAACGGTGGGATGTTGTGCTTTAATATATAGGATGTGAGTTTGACTTGAGTGAATCAGCTGAAAGCAACAAGGTCTTCATGAACAGGAGTGATGAAATGTTCACTGTTTTAAGGAGGACGATCTGCCTGACGCATGACCTGTGCAATAATTTCCCCATTCACTTGGTTTCATTCCAGTTAAATCATACCTTGACAAAAGGCACAGTTTTAATATGATACTGCATTTCAAAATGTTTTTTGTATTTTAACTTTTATTTAAGAAATATAAATTTCCAAAGTACAACTTTTGGATTATAGCAGCTTTTTCCCCCCATAACCTCCCTCCCACCTGCAACGCTCCCATCTCCCACTCCCTCTCCCATCCCATTCACATCAAGATTCATTTTCAATTATCTTTATATACAGAAGATCAATTTAGTATATACTCTTTTTTTGACAGGCAGAGTGGACAGTGAGAGAGAGAGAGACAGAGAGAAAGGTCTTCCTTTTTGCCGTTGGTTCACCCTCCAATGGCCGCTGCGGCCAACACACTGCGGCCGGCGCACCATGCTGATCCGAAGCCAGGAGCCAGGTGCTTCTCCTGGTCTCCCATGCAGGTGCAGGGCCCAAGCACTTGGGCCATCCTCCACTGCCTTCCCGGGCCACAGCAGAGAGCCGTCCTGGAAGAGGGGCAACCGGGACAGAATCTGGCACCCCGACCGGGACTAGAACCCTGTGTGCCGGCGCCACAAGGTGGAGGATTAGCCTATTGAGCCACGACGCTGCCCCAATTTAGTATATACTAAGTAAGAAAATATGTTTTAAAACATAAATGAATTCCATTCAATCTGACCCAACATACATATAGTAGGAACCATGCTAGGTACTGAGTTGACCAAGGTGGCCAATATGGGAGTCATTGTATTAGCATTTTGGTGCCTCAGTTTCCCTAATTTGTCATCCTTAGATCACAGAAGAGAGATGTGTGAGATGAGGAGAAGGGAGAGATAAGTAGGTGATGGGTCATAATCAAACTGTTATATTACAGTGTGGTCCACATCTGTAATACATATGTAGAATCATACTGGGAGTCTTGTTAAAATTCAGATCCTCACTCAGTTGGTCATGGTCAGAGAAATCTCTGTACCCAGCAGCCTCCCAGGCCATAGTAGTGTTGCTGGAACTCAGGCCACAGTTGGAGTCACAAGAAGCTTGCTATCACTTGTTATCAGTCACCTGCAATGATTGGCAGCCCAGCCGCATGCATCCCTGGGCTCCACCCGGGACATTTTGGATCAAAATTTGCATTTAACTCGTTCTCCAGGTAATGCTTGTGTGTGGTATAGTTTGATAAGCACCGCTTAAAAGATGAAAAACTATTGAACACGGTTAAGAAGGGAACTATTTTTATAAGGGAACTATGCTTATAAAATAAAGGTTTCTGACCCTTTCGCAGTTAATCCCCCATACTCCATCACTGGCACACCTGGCCTGGTTCACTCAATTCCCATTTGCCATTTAGGAGATAGGTACCATATTTAGACTTGGGTTTTTAAAAGAGAATATGAAAAAGAGACTTCCATGGACATTACTTCTAGCAAGTCTAGGAGCAAGTGGAGAAGCTAATGAGTGATAGAGGACTGCAGAGGAGGGAATGGTCTGGAACTCCTCCAAAGGGTGTAATCAGGAGGACTCAGGCATCAGTAGATTTGGAAGCTAAGGGAGGGAGAAAAATCCAGAGAAAGCCCTCCAGTCTGGTTATGACATCTGGATTTATGGTTCTGGCAACACTAAGGGATACTGTATAGCATGGGGTTAAGAATGTGGGCCTTGGAATAGGAATGAGTGGAGCTCAGACATGTTTCCAATACTTACTACTTACATAGCTTGGTAAATTACCTAGATTTTCATCTTTAAAATGGGGATATTGATTGTTGTGTGGTGGCATTAGTTGCACCTTGCAAAGGTAGAATCAAGAAATTGAGACTGTTAGGACATTGTCCCAGCTTGTGCAGAGAGGAGTGAGATGAGACTTGGGCATGGGCCTCACAGTTCTGCAGCTCTTGCCCTGAACTATTGCCTCCAAGGTAATACCTCCAGGAGGGTAGGAGTTCTGACCAATATGAATAACTTTCTTTCTAGGTCTCTCTTAGTGTCACTGCTGTATTGCATAGTGACAGAGTGAAGGGGTGAAGGGGTGAAGGGGAGAGAGAGAGAGAGAGGGAGAGGGAGAGAGAGAGAGGAGAGGGGAGCGTAGTTGTGGGAAGAGGAAGGAAAGGGAGAGAAATTTTGTCTACTGGTTCACTCCCCAAATGGCCACAGCAGCTGGGCCTAGGCCAGGCTGAGCCAGGAGCCAGTGACTCCATCCATGTTTCCCATATGGGTGTCAGGGGTCCAAGTACTTGAGCCATTTCCCACTGCCTTCCCAGGCACATTAGCAGGAAGCTGAATTGTAAACATGGTAGCTGAGATGCCAGCATTGCCAGTGGCAGATTAATCCAGTGCACTACAATGCTGCCTCCCAATATGTGTCTTCTCCTCTCCCTCCCACTCTCCTACCCACCCCCCAAGATTTATTTATTTGAAAGGCGGAGTTACAGAGAGAGAGATAGAGGGAGAGACACAGAGAGAGAGAGGTCTTCTATCCACTGGTTCACTCTCCAAATGGCTGTAGCAGCTTGAGGTTGGCTGATCCAAAGCCAAGAGCTTCTTCTGGCTGTCCCATGTGGGTGCAGGGGCCCAAGCATTTGGGCCATCTTCTACTGATTTCTCAGGCCATAAGTAGAGAGCTGGATTAGAAGTAGAGCAGCTGGGACTCCAACCAGCTCCTTATGTGATGCTGGTGCTATAGACAGAGGCTTAACTTAATATGCCACAGTGCCGCCTTCCTCCTTCTCCCCCAGTGTGTGTCTTCTTAAACTTCTATCCTTGCCTCCTTGGTCTGTCGTCATGGCAAAGGGAACGTTTCTATTCTGGTGCCTTCCTGGGTTCCTCCAACTTGGAGTTTCAGAAGACACAAACCTTTTCCTCAGGTGGTAGGTGGGGCTGGGTGTGTGATGTGGCTGTGTGAAATGATCAGATGTATACTTCACCTTTTAGGTAGGATACTATCCCTCATTCAGGGATGGTTTGATTTCTTACAGACCCAACTAGTTAATATCACCCAGAACACCTACTATGCATGATATCCAAACAGCACTATCCTTACAGTAATATCCAATCACATCCAAATAATAAAAAGTATTCACTAACAGGCATTTAGTGCTGTATATAAGTTTAATGAGTTATGTTTACTTAAAATAAAATAATGCTATCATTATTTATGACTTTACTTCATGTTATTTATCTAATATCTTTGTAGATCTTTCCCCTTTTCATTTCTGTCTGGTTGTTTCCAGGTGACAAAGCCTGACTTGTGAGCCTCACTTCCTCTATGTTCTGCCTTTCTACCCTCTGGCACACTGTGTGTTCCTATGCTAGGAGTAATCCTCACCCAAACACCCAACTCAGAGCAATCCTACGTTCTCTGCTTGTATGTCTTTGTTCTGAAGTCACCTTATCTGAGAAGCTGTGGCTTATTTCTGTATATGAATTAGCATACTACTTTCAATAATTTTCCATTCTCTTTACTCTTTAACCTTGTCTTTTCACCTCAGCAATAGAAAATCACTACCATATATATATATATATACATATACATACACACACACACATATATATATATATTTGTTTATATTTTGTCATCCTTCACTAAAGTGTCAATTTCTTAAGAGCAGGTAACTTCATCTGTTGTTTCTCTAGTGTCTAAAACAATAGCTGGTCCATAGTGTAACCAAATAAAAATTTTTAAATGAATTAAAAATAAACTGACGACCCTTTAATAAAAAACATGAGAAGGATGTGCATGTGTATATAAAGAGAACCAGTTGCAATTGTTTTCAGGATCGTTGCATTTAAAGAATAATGAAGCAAAACTACTTTAAAAATATCACTATTTAGAGAAGTGTGGTAGGTGGCATGAATTTCTCTTGGAGCCATAAGCTGATTTTGTTTTGTGTGTTTTTCTTTTCTGCTTACAGCCTAGCCCTCATCGTGAGAGAACTGCTTTGCCCTGCTCCAGATTCATGAACCATATGAAGAATTTCTCAGAATCTCATAGATTTAACAGTCTAAGTTTTCTACATTTTCCAGGTAAATTAAGAATTAATCTCCAAAAGGCAGAGTTTCCAAGGAAACTCTTGAATATGTACAGGTTAAACTTATAAAGACTTTATTGAAAAACACCTGAATTATGTTCCAAATTGGCAACAAAAGAGAGAGGTGTTGTCTTAGGAAGCTGCTAAATCCAAAGAACAGACTGGCTGGATCCAGGATTCCCTGGTAGAATCATGTTTTATTTCTCTTTCATTGTTGGCACCATTCTCATGTTGCTTCATTTTCAGAAAGAATGGCAACAGTCTGCCATGGTGGCTGTAGGCATATATGATTCTTAGAGCTTGAACTCTCAGAAGTAAAGAAACCTTTTTTCCCACTCTGTCTGTAACAATCCCCGCGTCTTATCTAATGATGTTGATTGTCCAAACTTGGGTCTCATGTTCACCCCTCTAGACAGGATGTTTGGGAGAACAGAGCAAATCAGACAACTCTTGCTGCTCCTGAGGCTGTGGAGGTGGGTCGCTTAATTGTCAGCTGCATTTAAATTACACAGAGTGTGTGTGTGCTTGTGTGTGTGTGAGGGGGTGAAAATGGAAGGGTGATTTCCTAATATAAATTGAAAGGGGCAAACAAAAGAGTATTATTTTGCATCAACCCAAAATGATGTACGGTCATGTTAGCTGCATTCTACACAATACTGGCAACATAGCCTTTTCTGATAATCATGTACTACCCATAAACTCCATTTTGAGGACCTTTCACTGACCTGAAAAGGCTAATTAATTTACAGTTCCAATTTACTACTAAGAGAAAGTGAAGTTTTAAAAGACAATTGGTACAGCAGGTAACTGCCACCCTTTCATTTAGATAATGCTTTATTTTAGAATGTAATTATTGATTTATTTGTATTTATGTATTAACAAATTCTGTTGCCTAAGTGTAGATGTTAGAGCTGTTGAAATGTTCTGTTGGTTTTTGATAGCTTTTGAGAATGTAATTTTAGTGGGATTTTCAAAGAATCACATTGAGATAAATTTTCCTTGATTAAAAAAAAGTTAAAAACTTTGGAGGTGTGATTAATACATTACCTTGGTTCAAAACCCAAAAATATAAAGATGTTTACAGTGGATTATCTTGTTCCTATCCCAGTTTCAATCTGCCTTGTTCCCCTTTTCTCCATAGGAAAATAATTTTAATGCTTTCTTGAGAATCCTTCAACACTTTCTCTGAGCAAATGAACACTTATATTATGAGCAAATATCAGTGTGCAGGTGGGCAGCCACGCTCCGCACCTAGCTGTCTTCACTTCGCACTCTATCTTGGAGCTGTTTCTAAATCAGTGCATTGATAGCTTCCACATTCATTTTTCTTAAAACTTCACTAATATGTTTTATGGTATGCTTTAATTTATTTAGTCAGCTTCCTTTGATGGAATCTACTGATTCACCCTAAAAAACCAATAAAGTAATATAAATTTCATATTTTAGAGCTTTGTTGGCATATATTAAAATGAATTTTTATGCAACTAGTGTTACTTTTAGACTTAGTTTCACTCAGTTGAAAAAAAAAACAAAGCAAATAAATAGTCAAGATTATGATAAAAGCTGTGAAGAAGAGAGATGGATGCCTTAGGTACCTTCATGGTCAGCTCCTCCCCAGCCTCAGCCTGGCAATCGGCCTGCTAATCTCTTTTGTGCCCTTGTTTGTTTTGCTTTTTCCAAGATGTCATATAAGTGGAATCATATGATACGTGACTCCTGCAATGTGTTCTCTTCCACTTAGCTTAATGGATTTGAGATCATCCTTATTGTTGGCTATTAGTGGCTCATTCGTTTTTGTGGTTGAGTAATATTCCACTGTGTGAGTTTACCACAGTCTGTCCCTTTATCAGCTGAAGAACATTTGAGTTGTTTCAGTTTTTGAAAAATGTTTTGGGAAACTTCACTGAAGTGATAGAAATGTACATACCTGAATTGTGATAATGGCTACAAATCTGTTTTATGGAATTCATATAACTGGACACTAATTTTTCTGTGTAAATTGAAATTCAAAGAACCTGTTATAAACCAGTGGGTGGAAGATCTCTCTGTCTTTTTGTCTGTCCCTCTCTCTGTGTAACTTTTTCAAAATAAATAAATAAATCTTTTTTGAAAAAGCTTCTATATGAATTTTTTTAAAAGTTAAGAAAGCTTCTTTTCCAAGAGAATGCTAAATGGCAGACGATGCTGGTGCAGCAGGAAGGCTGTAGGGTCCCGGGGACCCTGGAATGGGAGGCTGAGGTGGATTCTGTGGAGGTTTCAGCTGTGGAGTCTTGTCTGGGGCTGGGGAGAAGCCCTGGAGCTCCTGAAGGCAACACCAAGGACAAGGAGTGGCTCTCTGTCACCAACCTGGGCCATCTGGTTAAGGACATGAAGGTCAAATCCTTGGAGATCTGTCTCTTCTCCCTGCCCATCAAGGAGTCTGAGATCATCGACTTTCTTCTGGGTGGTCCCTTAATGATGAGGTTTTGAAGATCATGCCAGTGCAAGAGGCAGACTCGTGAAGGTCAGTGGGCCAGGTTCAAGGCACTTGTCAACCTGGGTGTGAAGTGCCCCAAGGAGGCAGCCACCACCATTGAAGTGGCCATCATCCTTGCCAAGCTCACCATTGTGCTGGTGCAGCCAGGCTATTGGGAGAACAAAACTGGCAAACCCCAGAGCATGCCCTGCGATGTGACAGGACATTCTCCTTATATAAATTAATTTTTATTTTTATTTTATTTATTTTATTTTTTTATTTAGTAAATATAAATTTCCAAAGTACAGTTTATGGATTACATTGGCTCCCCCCCCCCATAATTTCCCTCCCACTCGCACCCCTCCCATCTCCCGCTCCCTCTCCCATTCCATTCACATCAAGATTCATTTTCAATTATCTTTATATATGGAAGATTGATTCAGTATATATTAAGTAAAGATTTCATCAGTTTGCACCCACACAGAAACACAAAGTGAAAAATACTGTTTGAGTACTAGTTATAGCATTACTTCACACTGGACAACACATTAAGGACAGATCCCGCATGAGAAGTAAGTACACAGTGACTCCTGTTGTTGACTTAACAATTTGATACTCTTGTTTATGGTGTCAGTAATCTCCCTAGGCTCTAGTCATGAGTTGCTAAGGCTATGGAAGCCTTTTGGGTTCTCTGACTTCGATCTTATTCCGACAGGGTCGTAGTCAAAGTGGAAGTTCTCTCCTCCCTTCAGAGAAAGGTACCTCCTTCTTTGATGGCCCCATTCTTTCCACTGGGATCTCACTCACAGAGATCTTTCATTTAGGTCTTCTTTTTTTTTCCCAGAGTGTCTTGGCTTTCCATCCTAAAATACTCTCATGGTCTCTTCAGCCAGGTCCGAATGCCTTAAGGGCTGATTCTGAGGCCAGAGTGTTAATATAAATTAAATTAAAAAAGAAATGTTCTAAGAATGAACATTTGTATACTTTTTGTATTTTTACTTTGCTTATTTTAATTTTATTTGAAAGGCATTCAGAAAGCAACAGACAGAGATGGGTTCATGCCCAGATACCTGAAATAGCCAGGGCTAGGCCAGGCCAAAGCCAGGCATCTGGAACTCAATCTAGATCTTCCATATGCATGGCAGGGATCTAAGTACTTGAGCCATCATTTGTTGCCTCCCAGGGTCTGTGTTTATAGGAAGCTAGATAAGAAATGCAGTAGCTGGGGAGTGAACCCAGGTACTTGGATATGGATGTGGGCTCCCCAAACAGTATCTTCACTGCTCCACCAAATGCCTGCCCTCTAACAACTGGAGTGTCTTGGTGAATGTGGCAAGAATAGGATTTTTAAAAATCTAATGTATTTTTTATTTTTAATTGACAATAATTGTGCATATTTATGGTGTACAGCTTGGTATTTCAACACATGTATAGAATGTTTAGTGATCAAAACAGGGCAACTAGCATATCTATCACTTAAAACATTTATTTGTATTAGAGACATTCAAAAGTCCCTTTAATAGCTATTTTGAAATACACAACTTTCATCTACCATAATTATCCAACTGTGTTATAGAACAGTAGAGGTTATTCCTCCAATCCAATTGCACCCCCATACCTGTCAACTGTACTTTCTCAGTCCCCTAATCCCACACCCATTTTCTAGCCTATGGTAATCATTGTTACTCTCTCTACTTCTGTAAGATCAACTTTTTATCTTTTGCATTTAAGTGAGGATATGTGATATTTTCTTTCAATGCCTGACTTGTTTCATTTAACACAATATCCTCCAGTTCCATCAATGTTGCCACAGATGATAGGATTTCAGTAATTTTTATGGCCTAATACTATTTTATTGTGTATGTTAGCATATTTTCTCAACAGCCAAAGGTAAATAGTCCAATTACACATGACCAAATGAATAGATGGCTCTCAGAAGAATGTATACCAACAGCCAATACATATAGGAAATGCTTAACATCACTAATACTCAAGGGGATGGAAGTCAAAATCACAATGAGATAGCATCTCAGGTAGAATGGCTGTTATCCAAAAGACAAAAAAGGATGTGGAAAAAGGGATTTCTTACACACTGGTTGACAGGGATACAAATTAGTACAGCCATGATAGAAAAACAGTATGGCAGTTCCAAAAAAAACAAAACAAAACAAAACTGGAAGTAGAACTACTGTAAGATTCAGCAGTTCTGCTACTAACACAGAGTCATAGGAAATGAAATCACTGTTGAAGAGGTGTCTGCATTAGCATGTATTTTTGGCACTATTCACAGTAGGCAAGATATGACGTTAACCCAGGAGTCAGTAGATGGATTAAAGAATAAAAAATAGCTGGATGATTAGCCAGCACAATGTTGCAAGAATAATTTTTTTGATTGTAGGGTTGATGGCAACATTGAAGCCGCCTCACTTCTCAGGTTCTTTGGTGTTGCTGCCTTCAGAGCCAGATGGATACTCGAGTAGAAATATAAATGCATATCAGAGTGTCCCTGTGTATATACACATATATACACACAGACTTGA